CCAGCCAGCCCTGCCCCCAGGTGAGCTGAGCTGGCCACACACACACACACAAATAAATAAAATTAAAAAAAAAGATTGTTGCCTCTAGTTGCAATCATTTGCCAACGAAAGCCTCAAATGTATTCTTTTTACCAGCTCTTTTATCCAAGAATGAATGGTAGTTGTGGGACGGGCCCAGGTAGAACACATGTTTTAGAAGAATATAAGAGAAAACAAAACTGAAATGTAAATTGACATATATCTGAGAATTAGGAAGTGAACTTAGAAAAGTAACGTTTGCTAGAATAAAATTTCAAAATCAAAGTATTACTTCAATAGGTAATATAGCATAGAAATGGACAGGCCTTTTATTAAAAAATAAAGCTTATATCTTAATTGTTGCCTCACTACTATGAGGAGAAATGGGGAGCATGCGCTCAGTCTGCTACTCACTGGCCAATCCTTTGGAGCACTTCCTTTGATCCAGGAATTCTGCTCTGTTTTGATGGCATTATACAGAAACATACACCTATCGAGTAATTTTAGGTAGAATTTGGGGTGGGTCATGGATTTGGATTTGGAGACGATTTAGGTTAAGATGAAACTGAGATTGCTGCTGGGGAGTGCAATTGATTCAATAACAAATCTGAAAGATATTACTTAATTTTGTTCTAAAAATAGACACGTTGCTTGACAAAGCCTTAGTAAATTAAGACGTGTTTGTGCCTCACATTTGTTTGATAAATGGAGTAGGATTACATTCCTGCTTGAAAAATCTCAGACAAATTGGGATCATGGGATAACTCATGCACTTACTACTGTGTGATAGCGAAGTTTCCACATTAAACTCTGGCTGCATTTAGGAACCAGCCCTCATAGTGGATAACCCACTACTATTATGGTCTGCTGGGCTATATGGGATTATTTTGCTGGATTCACATACCTACAATATTTGAATGGCAATGGAATACCCATCTCTGACAAAACTAAGCAAAAAAGGGAGATGTAAATCAAGGACAATTTTGTAGTGAAGAATATATATATACACGTATATATGTATATATATATGTGTGTGTGTGTATATATATATATATATGTATATATCTGTATATACAAATTAGGTTAGATATATAGTTACTTTCTCTTAGTTCAATGAGAAGAAAGATTTGTACTAATACTTTTTGGACATCATGTCTGTATCGTGTACCATGAACAACTACTATGAAGACAACAATATGCAATGTAGTAATTATTATAACTGTCCTACTAACCTGTTTTGAAACTATCTCATTGCTATTTCTTTCTCAATAAAATTAATTAAAGAAAATAAACTGGACACCTGTTCCATGAATTGACGTAGTGGCCATCTATGCCAATTTTCTGTAGGAGTATGAACATGAATGAGCATTGGACTTTGTCAAAAGTCTTTTCTGCATTAATGTTAAAATGAGATGACCATGGCTCATCCACATGGCTGCACTGACGGGGGTTCTGCGGTCTGAGGTGCAGGATCTCGGGACAGGTCCTGAGGGCATTTCATTGGCCTTCTCAGACCAAAAGGCTGCAGCTCTTGTTGCATAGGTCCTGCTATGCCTTGGTCTTAACCATCCAGTAGAAAAGTGTGAAGATGAAATATAAGAAATAAAGCCATGCTGTTAAGTTAAGCTGTGGGGGACTCAGGTCAATAATTTCTGACATTGCCAGTTAAACAGAAGACCCGATGCTGTTGTGGGCTACTGGACTCTTTTAGAATATTTTGGTGAGTTTACACACCTATAATATTCAATAACGGAACTTGGGAAGAATGGGGTACAGCGATGAATGTCCATTCTGTGTCTGTGTATTCAAAGTGGTTGGGGTAGATATATAGTTGCATTGTCTTAATGAATAGAATGATTTGTTCTAATGGTGTTTGTAAATGGGATCACGGGTCCGCATCTTGTACAGCAATTGGCCACTGAGAGGAATATATGCAGTGTGTTGTTTGTTGAAACTGTACTTCTGATTTGATTTGAAACTGTCTCATTGCTATCTGTTTATCAATGAAACTGTAGGAAAAAAAAATGAGATGACCATGTGGTTTTTGGACTTGGCACTACTGATAGAGTGTATTACATATATTGAACCATCCCACATCCCTGTGATGAATCCTACCTGGTCATGGTATAATTTTCATGATGATATGCTGTATTCTATTGGCTTGGATTTTATTGAGGATTTTTCCATCTATGTTTACGAGGGAGATTAGCCTGTAGTTCTCTTTTTTAGTTGCATCTTTCCCTGGCATTGGTATCAGTATAATGCGTGCCTCCAGTAATGATTTGGGGAAGATTGTTTCCTTTTCAGTTTCATTGAAGATTTTGAGAAGTATAGGGATTATATCTTCTGTAAGTTTCTTGTAAAATTCAGCTGTGAATCCATCATGACCTTGACTTTGTATTTGTTGGGTTTTTTTTATTAATTTCATATTTCGTTGGTTGTTACTGGGTTATTGAGAGTTGTTATATCCTGATTCAATTTTGGTAATTTGTATCTTTCTAGGAATCTGTCCATCTCTTTTTTTGTCTTCTATTCTGTGAGAGTAAGAGGCTCAAAGTAGATATTGATGATCTTCTGAATTTCCACTGGGTCTGAATTAATTTCTCTCTTTGCATTCATTCCTTATTGCTTGTATTTGAGTTTCTTCTTTCCTCTTTTTATGATGTTAGCTAGGGGCTTATCAATTTTATTCAATCTTTCAAAGAACCGGGTATTTGATTCCTTATTTCTTTGTATTGTTTTCTTCATCTCAAATGCATTAATTGTTGGTCTATTCTTTATAATTTCCTCCCATCTTTGGGCTTTGGGTTTGGTTTTCTCTTCCTTTTGTAGACGTCTGAGGAGCAGCATTAGGGTATTTATTTGTTCCCATTCTGTTGTCCTAGTGTGTGACTTCACAGCTATAAACTTCCCTCTAAGAACTGCTTTCACTGTATCATCTAAATTCTGAAAATCTGTGCGTGAATTTTCATTTTCAAGCTAAATTTTCTTTTTTTCTTTTTCTTTTTTTTGTGGAACTCAGGCCTGTGTGCTTGTGAGAGGAGTGCATATTCTACTGAGCCATCTCCATGGTCCCTCAACCTAAATTTTCAAGCTAAATTTTTTTTTTAAATTTATTTATTTATTTGTGTGTGTGTGTGTGTGTGTGTGTGTGTGTGTGTGTGTGTGTGTGGCCAGCTCAGCCCACCAGGGGGCGGGGCCTGGCTGGCATGTGGTGCTGAGGGATTGAACAGTGGTCCCTGTGCTTTGCTGAGCTTGTTCTAAGTAGGTGCTTTAGACCACTGAGCCATCTCACCAGCCCGTCAAGCTAAATTTTTAAAAAGTATTTTTAGTACATGGCATGCAAGCTGAATTTAAAAATGTTTATTAACAATAGCATTGTTAGCAGGTGAGTCTTAATATAAATCTTTCTAATTAATAAACTAATAAAATGTTTTATGGGATATTATAACATTTACAGTGAAAATTAATAATTTAATAGTTTAAATGTACATTTCAGTTGTATTTAATGATTTCACTCATATTGAACTTGTTCCTAATTTAAATGTTTTAGAAACTTGTTCTTCCACTCAAAGAAACTGTAGATTAACTCAGCGTTTCTTCATATTGTTTCTCTCATCCCTAGTTTTGTGATTTGACATGCAGTTTCTATCCTCCTAGACCTATTAGGTTTGGATTATACTTGCTTGTGGACGTCTTTGCCATGCTTGTTAAGTTGTTCAGTAACGTCTTCTCTTTTAACATCAATCAGTCTCTTACAACTGCTTTATTTAAATATGTGGTTTTATGCCTTGTGTTGTGTCTTCAATTTTTAAATTGTCCTTGTTCCTCATTATTTTATTTATTTACTTTTTGTATTTAGAACCAGGTCTTTAGTGTTTACAGGGTCTACAGGGTTTCACTATGTTGATAGGACTCGTAGTGTGTCTCCTGTTTTCAGCCTCCCAAGTGCTGGGATTACAGGCATGGGCCACTATAACCTGTCTCAGTCTCCATTTTTGCCCACCTAGGGGGGCAGAGCTGGCATGGCAACCTGGGGATTGAACCCCAGCCGCTGGGCTCTACTGGCGCTTTAGTTTTCTGAGCTATCAGGCCAACCCTGTTCCTCATTATTTATGTAAAATATTTTGTTTTAATCTGTACATTTGTGTAGTTTCCACATTCTCTTTTGTTGATTTCCATTTTCATTTCTCCCTGACCACATACATAGATTATTTTAATTCTTAAACATTTGATTTTTTTATTTAATTTTTATTTATTTGTGTGTGTGTGTGTGGCCAGCTCAGCCCACCAGGAGGCGGCACTGGCTGGCATGTGGTGCTGGGGGATTGAACCGCGGTCCTTGTGCTTTGCCAAGCTTGTTCTAAGTAGGTGCTTTAGACCACTGAGCCATCTCACCAGCCCCCTATTTTAATTCTTTAAAAAGTTTAAAATTATGTTTATCTTGTACAAAAATATATTCATTATGAGATGAAACATACATGCATTTGCATGAGATAAATTTAAATGGAGGAACCTATTTAAGCATAAGCACAGGATTTCCAACCTGAGCCTTCAGGGGTCACCTCCAGAGTCAGGGGTGGAATAAAGTAAACCAGTGCTCCAGAGCAGAGGAGCCAGTATGTGTTCAAAGCCTCACACTGACTGCAGTTTCCCCTGAGAGTCCATATCAGGAAGCAAAGGGGCTGCAATGGAGACCGAGGAGTCTGGGAAGAAGGTTGGACATGGATGGGCAAAGGGCATCCCAAAGTTGCAGCCCTCTGCAGGAGCAGAAAACAAGACATCTCCTTTCCCTTTTATTTCATTCAGGCTTCAAATCCATTGCTAGCTGGCCTGTGCTCCCCGATGGGTGTTTTGACTTCTGGAATTCAGTCAACTCAAGACACCCAGAATTGTGCTAAACAAATCTGCATTCGTGTGTGTGTGTGTGTGTGTGTGTGTGTGTGTGTGTGTGCTTGCTTGCACATTGACAAAGGCAACTACTGAATACCCCTTTCAATCTGCTTTTAGTTTGCCATTGTCTTCAATTCTTCCAGTTTGGTATCATGTTACAATAAAGGTATCTATGCAAATCTACTTTATAACCAAAGATGTGTTATATTTTGGAGAAAATTCTGGTGCAGCTGAGAAAATAAAGTAATGAAGGAATGTAGTAAATGCCTTTTAAGAGTTCACAATATTAATGTCTTTGACTCCAAAGCTTTTTGATTTCTCATAAACAAAGACCACAGCCA